AGTTTGATTCCTAGAAGCGATATTTTTCATATATTCAGTAATTATCTTTAGATCACGTTAGATTTTGTAAAGATTTTATAATTATCAACAGAAAATATTATAGAATCTTTCGAGTCTTCGACATTCTCCGTGTTTATTTAATGTGCATGGCAAAGACAAAACCCTAGAACTAGAGACAGAAAAGCCAGAGCAAGAAACAGATATAGCGAGAAAGCGAGAGAGAGAGAGGGATTGAAAGAGTAACAGAGATCTACAGGATTCAAACGTATTGGTAAAATCTCTTAGATTCTCTTTGTTTATTTGGTTGTTCGTTTAAATATCTCTTATTTTCCTTAATCAGCACTTTTTCCCATTAATACCTAAGATCTTTCTTTTATCTTTCCGTTAAGATATATATTCTCTTTCTCTTTCTTTCTTGTTCAGCTTCTTTCCTTAGTCATGGACCCGTCTCGCGTCAACAACACAAACGGCGAAAGCAACGGACGTGAAACCACGGAGGAGAATCAAACTCCGGCGAATCGACGAGGTGCGTCTCAGCAGCCGCAACCTTCTCAGCCTCAACCCATCACTCCGCGTTCTATATTCGCGAGTGCTGCTGCTGCTGAGCTGAAAGCCCTAGAATCCTCTTTTGGTTCTCTCTCCTTTTCCGGTTCAAGAAGTGTTCCTCACCAGAATCAGTTTCTTGCTAACCGTTGGACCAATGGATCCTCTTCCTCCTCGTCGCCACTCAACGGCGGCGCTGGTGATGTGCATCACTCTTCAGGGCCATCGGGTTTCAATTACTATTATGAACAGGATTTTGCTTATGAAGGGCCATTGGTTTACCAAAACGGAAACGGAACCTACTCAAAATATTCTCATTGGGCTTCCGACAATAATGGGTTTGGTTCGGTTATGAGCAACAGTTCTTGGAGGAGGAACCAAGGCTCCTTGAACAATTCTCATTCTTTTGGAAACCCTAGAATGAGATCGATTGCTTCTCTTGCTAAAGACCAGGGTTCGAGTGTTGATGTGCAGAGGAAGATCTCTGAGGGTTCCAAGGAGACGATTGATTTGATTTTCGAGGGTGTAATCTTTCACTTCTGTGAGTTGATGGTTGACCCTTATGGTCATAAAGTTCTCAGTGATCTTATGGTGAGATGCAGCTCTGAACAGATCTCTCGGATTGTTGATCTCATCACTCAGCGACAGTTTCGTTTTGTTAACATTTGCACTGATCCTGTCGGGTACACACATCTCTCTGATCCTTTGTTGACTTGTTTTACTTATGGGTTTTAGTTTGGGATATATATTAATATTTTATTGGCATTATCAGAGCAATTTCGGTTAAGTCGCTGTTGAGGTGTCTTCAATCTGAGGAACAAATCTTGCGGGTCGTGAGAGCTGTCAGCTTGGGAGCAATTGCACTTACAAAGAGCAGCAATGCACTTGTGATTCTCCAATGCTTCAAGCAGTTTCATCCCTCGCATACTACGGTAAGCTACTCATCGTCCACAGTATTTTGCCTTCAGTTTTTGATATATTCTTTTATGATCTTTGTTATGACAATATAGAACGTATTCATCTGCCAAAATATTTGCTTCGTCTGGTCATGGAGTCAATTTTTTTCTTTGTCTTTCTCAAACTTGAACTCACTTCTTTATACCACATATATATAGTTGAATAAATATACTGTAGCAACTCAAAGTAGTTAGACGAACCAATTTGATGTTCGTGAGTTTTTGCTTCGTGTCAGTTAATTTTACATTACTGTCTATTTGATTTTCTAAACAAGTCATGACCAGAAAAATATTCTAGAATATCTGCATGGTATGTTATGTAGCAGTTCTAACATCTTACTTGTGTGGCCAAGTAAGATTAGAAATCAAATTTTTCAAACAGGTTTGGTGTTGGAAGTTGGTTATGACTTGTGCCACTCTTCTGCGTTTTATCTTTTTTGTTTTCTTTACAGGATCTTCTAGCGGTTATCGCTGAAAACTGTTACGCGATAGCAACTGATGAATATGGCTGCCGAATGCTTCAGCAATGTCTCGACACTGGTTGTAACGTTGTAAAACAACGATTGATTCAGGAGATAATCGCTAACGCGTTGAGACTCTGCGTTAACTCCTACGGGTAAACATGAGATGAATGATCATATACATACAATGGTATTCTAGTGATCTCATATTTTCTTTTGTTTACTAACAAGTACTGTACTATCTTCTCTCCTTCAGAAACTACGTGGTGCAGTATCTAGTGGAGCTCGGTGATCCAAATGTAACAATTCCTCTCATAAGACAGCTGCTAGGGAGCTACTCCTTGCTCGCCCGTAACAAATTTGCAAGTCATGTTGTGCAAAAGTTCTTGAAAATAGAGTATATCGACCCTAGCTTGATCGTGGTCGACTTGCTTAGAGATATTGATACACTTCTTCTTGACCCGTTTGGAAACTATGTCATTCAAACGGCATGGATGGTCTGTAAGGTAATGAATATCAAGGCCGTACTTTGATTAATACTTTGGTATATATATTTCTGCGTAGAGATTATGTGGTAGATCATGCGAATCTTGTTTGGTGTTTGCAGGACGATTTGCGCATGATCTTGATGGGGCATATTAATCGTAATAAACGATTGATGAGGTGCAACATGTATGGGAACAAGGTTCTGGAGAGACTCAATCTCTAGAGGAAAAAGAAAGAAGAATATGTATTTGCTTCGGTTTTTTTTTTTTTTATGTCATTGGTTTGTATTGCTACTAACTCATCGTTGAGATTTTTTAGGTTTGGGATTTGTGGTGTTGTTGTTTTGTGAAATCAAACACGTGTATGTTTCCTATATTGGGAGATTTGTCTTGGTGTTGCTTCTTTAGCAACTCTGTCTGTACAAGACTCCGACTGTTTTCTAAGTGTATCGGTGTTTGTTGTTTTCTATTCTTATTTTGCATCATTCCTTATTTCATTCACCCTATATCATTCTTTGATTATATATTGTTTTTCTTAGAACATGATTAATCCGAATTCTTAATTTTGGATTCATAACTCATGATTTGACACTTATTTAAAAGACTTCTTAATTCGCATTAATCATGATCTTAGATTTCTTTACACTACGTACTTATTGTTTACAATGTCCTTGATGTCCTCGTTTTTTTGAGAATGCTTTAGCTTTTGTGTTTTTATTGTTTCAAACAATTTTGTTAACAATAATTTAATACATTAATTAGATGATTTTGTGCAATGAGCAGAAATAAAAGCTTTTAAACATAATCTTATGATTTAAACTATATGTAAATTTAAACTATACATATGTAAATTTAAACTATACATATGATTTAATATAATTCCGTAATCTACTAGTTTAAACAGGCACATTTATGTAGTTTGTATTTTGAAATTATAAAAAAAAAAACATCTCTACTTGTAAGGTTGATCATTACAAAATCGTATTTTGTAGTTATTTAAGCAATACTTACATTGTAGTAGCGTGTTGTTTGGATTTTATCAAATCCATACAAACTAATCTTCATAATATATTTTGTACTTTATAATTTAGAGAACAAACAAATAATTCCTCATAACACAATGGATTCATATGTAATTTATTCAATATATTCAAATTATATTTCATTTCTAAGAAAATACTTTCTTTTTTTGATCAACATACAATATTAAGATCTTGTTAGTCAAAAAAGAATTATGTCTCTGTGAAAACAAAGCAAGACAGTTGACTCGGAGCACCACATGCTAGATTATCCTTTCTTGTATTTTAAATCTTGAATCTTTGGTACTTGTTTATATTTCTTTCTCGTATTCTAAATTTTGAATCTTTGGTACTTGTTTATATTCTGAAGTCGGTGCACACCAAAATTTAATAGTTTAGATTCATCTTTTTTTATATATATATATATATATGTTTTATTTAATGCGATAATTGTAAAGTAAAAACTCATTATCTCTATTTTTTTAAACAATTATTGAAATACGCTAGCAGATTCTTAGCAAAATTGGATTTCCTGATAAATTAATTATAATAAAATATTATATAAGATCATATAAATAAGAATTTTTACCTAGACAATTTTATACTCAGTAATAGTCAAAATTCGCTATTCTTAAAAGAACAATTTTTAGAATTTTGACTATAAGTGAGTATAGTGTTACAAAAAAAAAAGACTATTAGTGAGTATTGTCTAGGTAACAATTCTTATTTTGGGTGATGGTGGAGAGACTCTAGAGACCATACTTACGGATCCTATGGTATGTTTAATGAACCATTATGTAGGGTGTTTGTTAAGACTATCCAGTTTTTATATGGTTTGAGTTCTTTCTAAAAATTGTCTTTTAAGAGGAGCGAATTTTGACTATTAGTGAATATAAAATTGTCTAGGTAACAATACTTGTTTTGGGTGATGGTGGAGAGACTCTAGAGATTGTCTAGGTAACATTCTAAAGGTATGTTTAATGAATCAATCATTCTGTAGGGTGTTTGTTAAATACTTACTTCACCATTTTTATGTTTATAATATGTTAGCAACACCCACGAAATTAAAGTCCCGTGTGAGTGGCTGGCCTTGTGAATGGTTGGCCTAGGCAGACCAACAACCCTCTATTATTACTATAAAGTTGTTAAAAAATATATTTTTAAGAGATTTTAGCGGTGAGCATGCTCTAAAATGTTTTCAGAAATGGACATTGATAATTGATGATGAAAGAAAAAGGGAAAATTGTTTTTTTAGACCAAAAAACATGTACATTATCCTTTTATGCTAATCTCATATTTGTACTATTTTTGTCTATAATACCTTTGTTTATTTATGAAATAGATGAAATAAATAGTTTTAGAACCCGCAAAAATTAAGAAAAATAGGAATATGTGAATAAATACCTATACCAATATATAAGTATTTTATTTGGTTCTAAACTGTTTAAATAAAATTTTCAGATTTCATTCTATGAACTACATAATTTACATTCTGCGAAGTAGAAACTAAATTCCACTTTTTTCTTTAATTCTACAAAGATTAGAATAAGCTTTCTACATAAATAACAGTGATCTAAAAATATTTGGAATACGTATTCTACGGATGGCCCATCATTCTAAATATCGTAGAATACACAATGTACACATTACTAAAAACCTAAAACTTGTAGAAATCGAATTCAAATTTGTTAACTGCATAGTAGAATACAGATTCTACGGATAAATATGAATAGTTCCGAAAATAAGGGTAAGAAAATATTTGGAAATACTTTGTTTCCATATTTGAAAATTGAATTTTTTGAACAAAAGAAGTTAAAAATAGTGGTTTGGCTGCCCCTTCTTCAAACACTCGTCTTCCATATTTCCTTGATTTTCACATAATTTTCATAAAGTTTCTTCTATCATACATTGTGGTGTACGAAAATTGGTTTCTCTCTTAGATGAAAAGAAAAGAGAGAGGTTACAAAATTGAACTCATCTTGGTTGAAATTGAGATATAGAACATACTAACCACTTGATTATACTGTTTTGCAAGAACTGCGAAAAGAACTACTTGACTTTTCTGTCAACTTTTCAAGAGCCTTTCATTATATATATGATTACATATATAGATACATTATAAAACGATCCGTATATACAAAAATCTAAAATAGTTAACTCCATAAACTCTCATCTGCTTTCTAAAGAAAAATTCCAGAATCCCGGCCAAAAACAATATTATGTCTATCTCATATTGCAGCAATGAGGCGTCCTTAGTCCAGTAGCTTATCCCACATGCAAATCATCTTCCGTGGTGACTGGTAATGAGCGGTGAAGTACTCTTTTATGCATCCAAATTGGCAGAACCTGAGGCTGTGAACCACCTCCACTGGTCTAGTCGTTGAACTTCTCCACCCACATTCCCTTGCTCACATCTTCCATCTTGAACAACTGAAATAACAAAGTAACAATGGTCATATCAACAAATGCTAAATTCAATCTAGCAAATGCATAAAAGGCTTAAGTTACTCTTAATCTCTTTTGTTCAAAATTATCCACAATGAACTTAGCTATGTCAAATGACAAGATGTAACCCGGACCATTTGCATATGGTGGATACTGCTCTTCTAGCCATTCCTAATGCAACCAATTTTATAATTTTTGACTTGTTCAGCTCCTAAAAATGTAAATTGTTACCTCATATGTCATAGCCCATTTCCCATCATAGTGATCTATGTACGGTACTATGACAATACCACCAAGTACTTAACTTCTTTCTTTAGATCCACATTGACTTCCTTTCTTGCGTGCTACAACATGAACCAACATAAAAAAAAATGCAGATAAACTTCAATGACTATCATAAAATGATTTTATTATTTTCAAGACTTGTTGCTTACTAATGTCCCAAAGAACCAGGCAACAACTTTAGATGATCTGACAAGCTTCTGCTACATCCATGACTTCCTCACAGCCATTCTCTCTGTAAAAATAGTTACCAGCAGAGAGAACACCGATGAACAGCTCCAAAGGCTTCCCAAGTAACGCAGGAGCTTTCCACATGCTCTGCATCTCGAGATGCTTTTGCGGCGCTAGTCCAGTAGCATCATCTAGAATGCAAATCAGTCTTCCCCTTGACTGTTAGCCCTGTAGCATTCTCTAGAACAAACCCTTGTAAGATCCGTTACACGGGTCAATGTTGAACCAAGCGTTTCAGACAAAAACGAAAAGAAAAAAATTCATTGTTCTGTAAGGGAAAGATTTGATATGTCTTCCATTAACGCTGATGTGGTAACCTTAAACCTTCCATTCCAGCTCGAAGGGTAAGAACAAAGAGCTTCCTTCTTCAAAATGGTATAGCCAATCATGTGTTATCTTCTTCCGTTGATCCATAAGCCTATTCAACCACCATGTCTTCTTTGACTCATCAGAACCGTTACAAAGCATTAGGCCGTAGACGAACTGAGAAAGAGTCGGAGAAGAAGAGATTAGCCGGAAGCTAGAGTCGGAGAAGAAGAGATCGATGCCGGAGTATCCTTCAATTTCAAGCGCTCTTGACGTCGCCTCTAACGCCTCACTAAAAGATAAATTCGTATATGTAAATTTAAACTATACATATGATTTAATATAATTCTGTAATCTTCTAGTTTAAACGGGCACATTTATGTAGTTTGTATTTTGAAATTATAAAAAAACATCTCAACTTGTAAGGATGATCATTACAAAATCGTATTTTGTAGTTATAAGCAATAATTACATCGTAGTAGCGTCTAAAAGTTGTTTGTATTTTATCAAATCTAAATCTATACAACCTAATCTTCATAATATATTTTGTACTTTCTAATTTAGAGAACAAACAAATAATTCCTCATAACACAATGGATTCATATGTAGTTTATTCAATATATTCAAATTATTTTTCATTTCTAAAAAAAACCTTTCTTTTTTTGATCAACATACAATATTAAGATCTTGTTAGTTAAAAAAGAATTATGTCTCAGTGAAAACAAAACAAGACAGTTGACTCGGAGCACCACATGCTAGATTATCTTTTTTTTTGTATTCTAAATCTTGAATCTTTGGTACTTTTTTATATTCCAAAATCGCTGCATACCAAATTTAATAGTTTAGATTCATTTATATATATATATATATATATATATATGTTTTCTTTAAGGTGAGAATTGTAAGTAAAAACTCATCATCTCTATTTTTTTAAACAATTT